TTTCAAGGTCAAACAGATATATTTTAGATAGACAGGTCATCTTCAAACACTTCAAAGGTCTACAGAATATGGCATTAAAGATGTTTTTTAAATTTTTTATTTATTTATTTTTTTATAATTAACTTGATTTCACATATCAGCCATGTATTACCCCATCTTCCCTCCTCCCACCCCCCAGCCCTCCCTCCCAATCCACCTTCCATTCCCATCTCCCCCAAGGCAAGATCTTCCCTGGGGAGTCAGCCCAGCCTGGTAGATTTAGCCAAGGCAGGTCCAGTCCCCTCCTGCCTACATCAAGGCTAAGCAAAGTGTCCCAGCACAGGCACCAGGCTCCAAATAGCCAGCCCATGCACCAAGGACAGATCCCACTCCACTGCCTGGGGACCTCCCAAACAGTTCTAGCTCATCAACTGTCTCACTTAACCAGAGGGCCTGGTCCAGTTCCATGGGGGCTCCTCAGCCATTGGTTCACAGTTCATGCATTTCCACTAGTTTGGCTATTTGTCCCTGTGCTTTTTCCAATCGTGGTCTCAATATCTCTCACTCATACAATCCCTCCTCTCTCTCATCAATTGGACTTCTGGAGCTCCACCTGGGGCTTGGCCCTGGATCTCTTCCTCTGCTTCCATCAGACACTGGATGAGAGTTCTATCATGATAGCCAGGGTGTTTGGGCATCCAATCTCCAGAGCAGGTCAGCTAAGGCACTCGCTTGACCATTGCCAGTAGTCCACCATGGGGGTATCTTTGTGGATTTCTGGGGACTTCTCTAGCATTCTGCTTCTTCCTATTCCCCTGGTGTCTTCATTCATCATGGTATCTCTCTCCCCATTCTGCCACTGTGCTCCTGATCCAGCTGGTATCTCCCACTTCCCTAAGCTCTCTTTCCCCTGACCATTGCCCTCCATTACTCCCAACCCCCAGTTTGCTCATGTAGATCTCATCCATTTCATTGTTGTGGGGTGATCCCTTTGTCTTCCCAGGGCCCTCTTTAATAGGTAACCTCCTTGGAGTTGTGAGTTGCAGTCTGGTTATCCTTTGCTTTACATCTAGTATCCACTTATTGGTGAGTATATACCATGTTTGTCTTTCAGAGTCTGGGTTACCTCACTCAGGATGATTTTTTCTAGTTCCATCCATTTTCCTGCAAACCTCATGATGTCATTGTTTTTCTCTGCTAGGTAGTACTCCATTGTGTATATGTACCACATTTTATTTATCGATTCTTCAGTCGAAGGGCATTTAGGTTGTTTCCAGATTCTGGCTATTACAAATAATGCTGCTATGAACATAGTTGAGCATGTGTTCTTGTGGTATGATTGAGAACTCCTTCGGTATGTGCCCAAGAGTGGTATAGCTGGGTCTTGAGGGAGGTTGATTCCCAATTTTCTAAGAAAATGCCATATTGATTTCCAAAGTGGCTGTACAAGCTTACATTCCCACCAACAGTGGAGGAGTGTTCCCCTTGCTCCACATGCTCTCCAAAGTAAGCTGTCTTTAGTGTTTTTGTTCTTAGTCATTCTGAGGGGTGTAAGGTGGTATCTCAGAGTCATTTTCATTTGCATTTCTCTGATGGTTAAGGATGTTGAACAATTCCTTAAATGTCTTTCAGCCATTTGAGATTCTTCTGTTGAAAATTCTCTGTTTAGCTCTATGTTTAGCCCATGTTTTAATTGGACTGTTGCGTATTTTGATGTCTAATTTCTTGAGTTCTTTATATATTCTGGAAATCAGCTCTCTGTCAGATATGGGGTTGGTGAAAATTTTCCTATTTTATAGGCTGTCATTTTGTCTTATTGGCCATGTCCTTTGATCTACAAAAGCTTCTAAGTTTCAAGAGGTCCCATTTATTAATTGTTTTGCTCAGTGTCTGTGACACAGCATTTAAGATGTTTTAATAACAGATTTTTTTACAAGGAGACATGTCTACTACTGGCAGCAATGATCTACTTCAGAGAAGATGATGTGTATTGAAGAAACTCTATATAGAGTTTACTTTCATTGTGGCAAAAGTTAGCTACTGGGCAATAACATGCCCTTGTCTAGACTGCTGACATTGTATTGTCAAAAATGGACAAACACACAAAATAAAGGCCTGTCAATCCTTGCCAAACAAGATAGAAAAGCTCTTCAGAAAATCCCTGCATTGAAAAATGGGTCTTCCTGGCAGTGGTGGCACACACCTTTAATCCCAGCATTCAAGAGGCAGAGCCAGGTGGATATTTCTGAGTTCGAGGACACCCTAGTCTACAGAGCAAGATCCAGAACAGGAACAAAAAAAAAATTCAGAGGAAACTCTGTCTTGAACCCCACTCACCCAAAAAAGAAAAATGAGTCTGTCAGATATGCTCAGCCTGTAGGGCAAAGATGATACCCCAAAGTTGCAGAGAAACTTAGGGTGACTGTCCAGGCAGCCAGCAATTTCTGTCATTTCTCAAATTTTTTGGAAGTCCCTTATTTGTACTTACTCAGTTAATACTTTTTACTTTTGGAGCCATTGGGGAAGTTGAGGGTTTGATAGTTACAGTTTTCCTTGTTAACAATTTCAAAAAAGAAATGCACTAAAGAGGTGTAAAGTGTATAAGTTTGAAAGACATCAAAAAACAGTTTTTGGTTGGTAATTAGGGTAGAAGGTAAATTAAGTACAATTCTTTGGATTCACAAAGATAGGATAGATAATGGGTTATTTTCTCTGAATCTGTCAAATGCAAATGGACTAGACATTATTGATGTATTTATTATCTGTATGTAATGTATATAGTTATTGTACTTATTATGTATAGTTTTTATATTACTTATATTTTTTATTTTACACACAAAAAAATAAAATATGGTGACATTTCCTTTGTGCTTTAATAAATAAAGCTTGCACGGAGATCAGAGGAAAAAGCCAGCCATAATATTAAATGTAGAGGTTAGGCAATAGTAGCACAACCTTTAATCCTAGCATTTGGGAGTAAGAGATTCATCTGGATCTCTGTGAGTTCAAGGCCACACTGGGAACAGAACCAGGCATGGTGGCACATGCCTTCAATCCTAGTGCTAGTTAATCATAAAGGACTAGAGGTCTGTATAGACAGATAAGAAGTGATAGAGCTGGGCAGAAATAGGAAGCGATCTAGCTGGGTGGAAAGAGATGTAAGATGACAGAACACAGAAGGGTTTATAGGTGTGAGTATACCAGTAGTATCTCTCTCGGGATGGTTGAGTAGTTGTTAAGGTGAGGAGGGCTGTGTCTTGTCATATTCCTCGATTTCAGTTTTCATCATAATATCTGAATCCAGGTTTTTTTTTTTTTTTTTTTTTTTTTGGTTTTTCGAGACAGGGTTTCTCTGTGTAGCTTTGCGCCTTTTCCTGGAACTCACTTGGTAATCCAGGCTGGCCTCAAACTCACAGAAATCCGCCTGGCTCTGCCTCCCAAGTGCTGGGATTAAAGGCGTGCACCACCTCCGCCCAGCTTGAATCCAGGTTTTTTATTAAAAAGATCATTTAGCAATTTATCTTACATACTACCATAAGAACAAATATTTTAATCTTTTCAAATAGTGCCACTCCCTATTTACAAAGCATTCAAATGTATGAGCATAGGGAGACCACTCTCACTGTAACCCCCAGACATTCACAGTCCTCAGATATGAAGATGATAAATATAATATTTGGGAAATGTACTAATTTGAGTTGTTTTCTATTGCTAATCATATGCTTCGAGAAAGTAGGTGATTTTTTATTTTTAATAACTTTCATGAATATAGAAATTTTAACAGGAATAAGAAGCTTCTCAGCTCCCTTCATCATGTAGATAGTGTGCTCCATTATCATGGTGTGTTGTTATACAGCAGCCTGTCTTAACTGCTCCCGAGGAAGAAAACTGTCACTGAACACCAAAATGCTTATTAAGATATCCATTGAATAATACAGACACTAAAAGACTAAGTATATAATAATGCAATTTTATAAGGCTTTGTTGTTAATGTCCTGCAGATATGGAGCAATGTGTGAGCTGTCCAGATGACCATTACTCCAATGCAGAGCACACACACTGTCTGCGAAGACATGTTTCCTTTCTAGCGTATGAAGACCCATTGGGGATGACACTGGCCTGCATGTCCCTGTGTTTCTCTGCCCTTACAGCTCTTGTTCTTGGTGCTTTTGTGAAGTACAATGACACTCCCATTGTGAAGGCCAATAACCGCATTCTCAGCTACATCCTATTGATATCCATCACCTTCTGTTTTCTCTGCTCATTGTTCTTCATTGGGCATCCCAATATAGTCACCTGCATCCTGCAGCAGACCACATTTGGAGTCTTTTTCACAGTGGCTGTGTCTACTGTCTTGGCCAAGACAATTACTGTTGTCCTTGCCTTCAAGCTCACTACTCCAGGAAAAAGGATCAGAGGAATGTTGGTATCAGGGGCACCTAATTTTGTTATTCCCATCTGCACCATGGTCCAACTTGTTCTCTGTGGAATATGGCTGGTCACATCTCCTCCCTTTATTGACACAGATACACACTCTGAACATGGACAGATCATCATTGTGTGCAACAAAGGATCAGTCATTGCATTCCATTTTGTGCTAGGATATTTGGGCTCCTTGGCTCTGGGGAGCTTCATTGTGGCTTTCTTGGCCAGGAATCTTCCTGACAGATTCAATGAAGCCAAATTCCTGACTTTCAGCATGCTGGTGTTCTGCAGTGTCTGGGTCACCTTCCTCCCTGTCTACCACAGCACCAAGGGGAAGGTCATGGTGACTGTGGAGGTCTTCTCCATTTTGGCCTCCAGTGCAGGGTTGTTAGGGTGCATCTTTGTCCCAAAATGTTATGTTATTTTGATAAGACAAGACTTAAATTCTCTTCAAAAGTTCAGGGATAGATCACTTTATTGACCCATTCATACTTTTAAAATTTTAGATTATATTCAAAATATCTGGTTTCCCTTTCCTGTAGATGACTATCTCTTCCATTCCAAGCTTTAATCATTTCCCCATGCAGTTTATCAAGTTTGATAATGTCATCTTTGTTTACCTTACAGTTTGGTTGTCATGTAGGTAAGACTATAATATACCTTTTACTCTTCCTAGTAGACATATTCTCACAGGAACCTCCCTCTTCTTCAGGCTCTTGAGATCTTTTCTTCCTTCTTTAATTTTCCATGAGTCTAGATGTGGGAAGGTTTCATAGATGGATCAATTGCTTGGTTCTAAATGTACATGTTGAATGGGAGAAACATTAATAAATGGAGCCCTGTTAGTCTTTTTTCCCACCTATTTTTTCTCTGGTATCATACAGACTACTTTCTAGCACCTTGCATTTTAGTCAATAGGGTAAAGGTTTCTAGGTGGATAACAATTCAACTTTTCTATATTTGATCAAATAAGTAAGTGTTGTCCCCTGGAATACCACCTAAACAGGAGGTAGTATAGAGCAATCCTACATCTCAAGCCTCAATGATCTATGTGGAAAAAGAGGTGGAAAAGTTTTAAGAGGCAGAGATAGCAGATGTCTGCATGGAAGCAAGTCACCTGGGAAAAAAGACTGACAATCATATGAAATCACCAAGACGTTGGAAGGATGCCTAAGACTTGCAGAGATACAAGCCATTAAAATATCCCAGTACTAACAAGTGGACATAGACTCAAATCCCATCCCTAAACGAGAAATATTTTGCAACTCTTGCCTGTTGAAAAAGGGAAAATCAGTTTTCTAGTATGGAGTTTTAATGATTATGTCAACCACACTCTGGGGAATGGTCATACCTTGTGTTGTAGTTGGCCAGCACAAGACATAATTCATTTGTTTTTCTTTCTTTTTTGTTTTTGGAAAGAGGCTTCTTTTTATTTTGTGTTATTTTCAACACTTTTTTGTTTTATTCTTTTTAGTTTAATTTTATTATTTCCATTTATAATTTGTTTCAGATAGGTAAGAAAAAACATGAAATTGGATTTATAAACAGGTGAGGAGTATAGGGGAGACATTTACATAGGGGAAATATGGTCAAAATATATTATTTGGGAAAAGATTAAATAAAAAGGAAAATTAGAAATACATGTAAAACATAAATAATTGGTGTGTGTATTTACATACAAATATTAAATGCATTGTACTTCTTGGGTTGATAACAATTCCCCAAGATACACAGACAATCTTACAAGAACATCAATATCAGGCATAAGAAAGATTTCTACAGTGAATTTGGTATGGGAATCCAGAAGCCTTTTACAAAATATATGAGCTATGGATACTCACCTTGTTGCCACCCAGAAATGAAAAATGTGCCCTATTTCTTAGGACAACACACATTTCAGATACAGACATGGAAGTGTTAAGATGAAACTGGCTTGTGAGTCTCCTCCCTGAAGACTAGCTTTCAGAGTATTTGAAGGTGCTGAAACCTGCCAAGAGAGAAAAAGCAAGTCTAAGTTCTATTCAGCAGTAAAGCTTGTGAACCACCATAAAGACTATTTTGGCAATATATATTCAAAGGTGTGATTGTGGCAAGTATATATTTGGGGTAACCAACATCTGTTTAATTGTCCTTAACACACTCAACATATGTTTGTTACTGTAAAACTAGCCAAGTACCTATTATTATTGATGTCTTGGAGTCTAAGGGAGAGCCAATTATTCCTATTTCCTGAATCAGTATAATTCTGGAAACTTATTCTTATATTCCCAGATAATCATAGTCCTGGCCACTCATGATAAAACTTCTTCTTCAGTACAGTGGGACTAAAACAGAAACATCCAACTTGTAGATATGTGAGGAACAAATGGGATGCCAAACTTGATTTGACACATATACAACATGATTCCTCAACCCAGGGCACAAGGAACATCTTGGAAGGGGCCTGAAAGACACTAAGACCTGGAAGATTAGAGTGTCTGCTGAGAGACAGTTTCTTCTCTATAACATTGAAGCTGAACTTATGATATTTTTACATATTTGTCACCTAAATATGGCCTAAATAGTGACCAGTAGACCTGCCAAAGAGATGGAGAAAATCTCACATGTCCCCACCCTAGATGGAGAATTACAGATAATCAATAGGTGTTACTAGAAGCAGAATCCATCTCAGGTGCACGAGCAGGCTTTGTGGACCCCACTACCTATGATTGGACACCTCGTACAGCCTCGAGGCATGGGGAAGGGTTTGGACCTGCCCCTATTGAATGTGCCTCACCATAGAAGGCTTGGCTTTCTTGTGGGAGGGAGTTGGAGGGTGGGTTGGGAGGGGAAGGCTGAGGCTGTGGGAGGAGGGAAGAGAGAGATCTTTGGTGTGTAAAATGAATGAAAAAAATTCTTAATAATAGAAAAGGAAAAGAAAACTGAAAATAGTAGTAATATCTCAGAATTGTTAAGATGTTTGCAATAAAATGTTCAGAATTATTAAAAAGTTAAAAAAAAGATAAAGTCTCAATTCTGAACACTTTTGCTCCATATACAAGGGCATCCACATTTGCAAAAGAAACATTTGTAAAGCTTAAATTGTACATCAAACCCCAAACATTAATAGTTGGAGACTCCAACACCCCACTCCCACCAATGGACAGGTTTTCCAGACAGAAACTTAACAGAGAAATAAGGGAAATAACAGATGTTATAACTCAAATGGACTTAATGGACATCTACAGAACATTCCACTCAAACAAAAAGAATATACCTTTTTCTCAGCACCTCATAGAACTTTCTCTAACAATGACTACATACTAGCAACAAAGCAAACCTCAACAGATACAAAAAAATGGAATCATCTCCTGTGTCTTATCAAGATCACCATGGCGAAAAGCTAGAATAGAACTACAACATAAATTGCAAAAAGCCTACAAACTCATGGAAATTGAACAATGCTCAACTGAATCACCTCTAGGTCAACGAAGAAATAAGAAATAAATTAAAGACTTCCTTGAATTAAAGTAAAATGAATATTCCATTGTTTTATATGTGAGGAAAATAGATATATTTAATTAAATGACATGTATATTAAATAAATGTTTGATGAACACTAGCATTTGAATATATTAAGCATATGCTAAAAAATCATAGAAATATCATTAATGATAATTTCTCTCTTTGCATGAAATTAGCATTTTCATAATAACTTTAGTTTTCTTATTATGATAAATAAATCATTTTTCGCATTGGTTAAACATATTCTCTCATAGAGGAATGAATTATAAACCCTTTTCAAGTACATTGATTCTTAGACAATTTCATACTGATATATAATTATACTTATAGTGTCAGAAGGAAACATATTGAGTATTCAGAATTCATATTCTGTCTTCAAAACATATTCCTGGGTGATTCACTCTTTAATATATTATACTGTTTTATAATGTTTAGTTTTCAGCCGGGCGGTGGTGGTGCACGCCTTTAATCCCAGCACTCGGGAGGCAGAGCCAGAAGGATCTTTGTGAGTTCGAGGCCAGCCTGGGCTACCAAGTGAGTTCCAGGAAAGGTGAAAAGCTACACAGAGAAACCCTGTCTCAAAAAACCAAAATAATAATAATAATAATAATAATAATAATAATAAATAATAATAATATAAATAAATAAATAATATAATGTTTAGTTTTCAAAGAGTAGTTTATAAGTTTAAAAACATAATTTGGTATTCAAGCTTTAGAAATGTGGCCCTGAGTTATACATATTTTTAGATATGTTTAATGTGATACTTTTAGGAAGGTGAAGAGTAAAAAATTAAATTACAATAAAATGTCATAATGCATCAGTCAATTCATAACATAGTAAATAGAATCAAAATACTTTTTATATATGAATGTAATGTTTAATTAACAAAAATTATTAAAGGTGAAAGTGCCATGGATTATATATATGGTTTAAGTCATGGGATTTTTTTTTTCTCTTGAATGAGAATTCCAAGACAAAAAACAGTGCAGAGTGAATGTATAGGACTGTGGTTTAGTTAATGGGTGGCATTCAGAGATAAAACATGATTTTTATGAATTTCCACAATAATAGAATGCCTCATATCAGAGTGACTTATTTTTACAAATAGCACTTCCATGGAAATTTTGCATGTAAATATTACAAAGTTCACTGCAATTGATGGACTTTTTTATGTTTAGAACATCTCCCATAATGCTCATGAACCTTTCTCAGAATAGTAATATGGAAGTATAATTCTTTTGGAAATTTTTCTTGCTGCTGATGAGATCATCAGGAACCCTTATATTTTACCCAACATGACTTTGACATTTTCCTTCCCTTTTGGCCAATGTGATGATACACTGGGAGTTCTGGATAACCTAACTCCACTATAAAACAATAGTTTGAGATATGTTAATTGTTTAATTATGTCTGTGGAGTATCTTTATGTTATGTAGAACTTGCAGCCTCATCATGTACAACATCTTTAAAACTGGTAATCTATATCAGGTATCCAAAGGTGAGGCTGTGTAGTAGAAGTGTAGCATAGCCATTTCCTAGGGGAATGGTGACAATCATGAAGCCAGCATAGTTGCTTGATAAAAGTCCACCAAAACTGAGCTACATGATGCAATCTTTGATGTGATGCATATAACTTTTGAGTATTATATTCTCTGCCCATTTTCCTGGTAACAGGCTTAAATATGTTTTCCTAATCTATCCCAAATTTCTAAATCTAAAGTTTCTTGATTTGGGAATTATGAACTATATTGCTTTACAAATTGTAAGAAAACAATTTAAGTTTTAGCTTAAATTGTAGTATTAACTTTAATTACCTTTTTATTCTTTAATGTACATTGTATTATTTCTATAAAGAGACTTCTTTCTTTAGACTCCTTATGGCCCATGATTTTTCAGTTTTTTTTTTCAGTTCTTTCTTTTTACCTCTCTCTTGCCTGGTCTATCTCTTACCCAGGTGGCTCCATAAACCTTTAATTGAAGTCCTGTCCTTACCAACAAATGGGGTTTCATTCTGCAGAGTCCCTGTTAGTGCATCAGTTGCTGAGGCCCAGTCCCAGCAGTAAACAGATTTCGGAGAGGATCAGTCGAGGGGTGAATTGAGTCAGACACCCAGATGGGAAGACATTGAAAATCTGACAGACTAGTAATCAGAACACTTCTTTATTTATAAAAATTTCAGAGGCATTCATGATTATATCAAGAGATACAATTTATATCATTTGGTCCCAATCATTCTTTGCTCCCTTGTGTGGAGTTAAAGGTTTAAGTACAGATAGAATGCATTTTATTATCCATCCTATGTCCCTGAGGTTACAGTCAAAGCCATGACTCTCCTGGAGGAAAAGCCAAAGACAAGGTGTGGATCCCCCTCACCAAGCTGGGTAGCCTGGTTAAGGACATGAAGATCAAGTCCCTGGAAGAGATCTACCTGCTGTACCTGCCCATTAAGGAATCTGAGATTGTTGATTTTTTTCCCTGGTTGTCTCCACAAAAAAATGAGGTTCTGAAGATCATGAGAGAGCAGAAATTGCCGTGTGTTAGCCAGTAGAGCAGGTTCAAGGGTTTTGTCCCTACAGGGGACTACAATGGTCATGTCAGTCTTCCATTCATGGGTCCATCATCTTGGCCAACCTTTCCATTCTCCCCATGAAGAAAGGCTACTAGGGGAACAATACTGGCAAGCCCCACACTATTCTGTGCAAAATGACAGGCTATTGTAGCTTGTGTTGGTACATCTCATCTTCGAACCCAGAGTCACTGGCGTAGTCTCTGCTACTGTGCCCAAGAACCTACTAATGATGTCCAATATTCTTGACTACTATACATCAGTCAAGAACTGCACTGACACCCTGGGTAACTTAGTCAAGGACCCCTGTGATGCATTATTAAGACCTACGGTTACCTGACCCCTGACCTCTGGAAAGAAATTGTATTCACCAAGTTTCCCCATGAGGAATTCAATGAACACTTTGTAAAAACCCACACCAGAGACTTGTTCAGAGGACAAGACACTGGTTATGGATACCACATAAGGCTTTTTATACAAGAAAAATAAGTAAAGTGAATTAAGTCTGTTTAAAAACAAAAAAACAAAAAAACAAAAAACGACAAATCATAATACCTTCTTGTTCTTCTTACATTCTTCTATATTATTCTTACCCCACCAACAGATGCTGTTATGTTATCCTCATCATTCTAGCTCTTATTGCTGAATTCTTTAGAGGTTTAATATATATTTATTCCTCTATCTTTTGGGTTCTGTTTCTAAGAAATTCTAAGTATAGTGTAAAAGGAATTTGGTGCTCTGAACTGCTGCCAATTCTCCTATCCTGCTGAATGTTTGTCAACTTCTTTCAAATTTACATAGTTCTGCTTTGTTCTTGTGTTTGCTCTGGGGCAGATAACAATCTCCAGAGCATAGAGAAGATTCCCAAGTAGGGCCAACTAAGGTTATTTCCCTAAAAACAGGGTCTAGTATGT